ACTGTGAAGAAAATTAACTCTATCCCAGCCAAAACTAGCACATTCTCCACCCCTTATTCCACACCATTTACATCATGCTCAGGTCTCACACTATCCAATACATTCTCATTAGCCACCACCACCCATCCCATCCTTTGATACAATAACACAGATATCATTCCCTTAGTCTATGGACCACCCCTGTGAAATGTCTGTAAAATGTCCATAAATGTCCACTGAGTTCATCTAGTCCATGACTTTGGGCTCCATCTCTTATGGTGGTCACTAAGGACAGGAGGGGTGCTGTGTTGCATGAAATTACTGGGCACCAAAGCCAGCTCAGGTCAGGTCACTGCTGCACTTGCACTGCTTCTTGTAAGGCTTGTCCTCCATTGTTTCAGGTGGTTCCTGCTATAGTAATTCCCCTAACACACAACTCAGATCCCAGGTTACAACAATTTAAATGTATTTCTATTAAAATCTCCACCCTTGGTCCCTTTGGACCAGACCATAGGGTTTAACATTGCAACAAACTCCTCCCCTTGCCCCTGCTCCAGCTTAGACTTATCCACAGACAGCAGTCCCTTAGGCGTGTACCTGCTCCAAGTGGAGCCTTATCTATGGGCCACAGCCTCTCCAGAGGTATACCTGCTGTGGCGTAGACTTATCTACAGTCACTTTGAGGTGCACCTGTTCTAGCGTGGCCTTATCCATGGGCAACAATGCCTTCAGAGATATACCTGCTCCAGCATGGCCTTATGCACAGCCACAGTACCTTCAGAAGTAAACCTGCTCCAACATGGCCTTACCCATGGCTGCGGTCCCTCCAGGGGTGTACCTGTTCTGTCATGGGCTTATCCATGGCCATGTGCTTTGAGGTGCTCCAGCATGACCTCATGAACAGCCACGGATGCTTCAAGGTGTACCTGCTGCAGCGTGGACTTACCCACAGCCACAGATGCTTTGAGGTGTAACTTCTCTAGCATGGACTTATCCTTGGGCCACAACGCCTTCAGAGGTATACCTGCTGTGGCATAGACATAACCACAGCCACAGACACTTCAAGATATACATGCTCAGGTATGGACTTATCCAACGGTCACAGATGCTTCGGGTTGTCCTGCTCCCATGTGGACTCATCCACAGGTCACAGTCCCTTCAACTTGAGTTCACACTGGAGTTCCAGCCTGTCTGCTACAGCAGCATAGAAACAGCAGCGATGCCCTGGCCATCTGCCAGCCCAGGCGCATTGCCATTGCTGTTATCAAAATGTTCCCAGGCACAGCAGAGTAAGATGATCAGCAGTACAGCAAACAGCGAAAGCAAAAAGCAGCCACCAACGAGCACTAGACTCTAACAGACAGTGAGACAAGCAAGCCCCATGCAAGCACAGGAGCCTGCCAATTAAAACCTAAACAGCAATAACAGCTATAAATTTGATCTAGCGCATTCCAATCAAATCTGTCATTATCTCAAACCCTTCGAGCCCCACTTGGGCACCAAAAAGGACTGTCATGGTTTAATGCCAGCCGGCAACTAAGCACCACGCAGCCACTCACTCACCTCCCTCACAGTGGGATGGGGGAGAGAAGCAGAAAGGTAAAAGTAAGAAAACCTGTGGGCTGAGATAAAGACAGTTTAATAGGTAAAGCAAAAGCTGTGCACGCAAGCAAAGCGAACAAGGAATTCATTCACTACTTCCCATCGGCAGGCAGGTTCAGCCATCTCCAGGAAAGCAGGGCTCCACATGCGTAACGGTGACTTGGGAAGACAAACGCCATCACTCCAAACATTCACCCTTCCTCCTTCTTCCCCCAGCTTTATAGGCTGCACATGACGTGATGTGGTCTGGAACATCCCTTTGGTCAGCTGGGGTCAGCTGTCCTGGCTGTGCCTCCTCCCAACTTCTTGTGCACCACCAGCCTACACTCTCCCAGTGTGAGAAGCAGAAAAGACCTTGACTGTGTGTAAACACTGCTCAGTAGTAACGAAAGCATCCCTGTGTTATCAACACTGTTTTCAGCACAAATCCAAAACATAGCCTCATACTAGCTACTGTGAAGAAAATTAACTCTATCCCAGCCAAAACCAGCCAACCAGTCACCACCTGAATTTACCCAACTGCTGCAACAAATGGCTTGTAAGCCACTCACAGACACACAATTTCATTCAAAATAACTACACTAACAAACACATTCAAGATACGACACTTTTCTTGGAGGTCAGTTCACAATAAGAGGCACCATTTGCGGGGCAAAGCACTGTGTACAGTTTGTCCAGTTCAGCTGGCCTCTGGCTCTCCCCTTTTGCCATTTTTTGGTTCCCAATGAGTAATCCCTGATGGGATCTTGGTTTGTTCTGTCATCCTGGCCACTTTTCCTTTTGATACATTTTCTTCAGAGTGGTCACGCTTTACCTTCATTTCCATTGGGTCATCTGTATCATCTATGGCAAGAAGGAAAGATGAATTAAAGTTTGCAAGTCCTTCTCCGACTTCAGTGCAACAGCCCGCAATGACAGTAGCAAGCAAAGTTACAAAGCGTGCCAGAAAATGCTTCTGTTTACATGCAACAAGAACAACACTGGGAATAGGGGACTCTGGTCCCCTAGAATAGGGGACTTTGGCTTTCCCTATCTCCCAAGAGCAACCACAACAACATTTACTCCCCTATACCGCAGTGTTTGTGGGAGAACTGTCAACATATATTGGTTATATCTGGAAGGTACCAAGATGCAACCTCCTGGATACATTAGTATGCACAGGATTGGGAACAATTAATTCCTTCTGTCCATAACAATTGGGGCAAGAGTACTTAAACTCCCCTCAGCTGCTGCATGTTGGATTTCTGTAATATATACAGAGGCTGCTATGACATACTCTTAAATACAAAAGTGTTGCTTCACTTTCCTTCCTGCAGAAGATTCCTCTGAGGCTAAGAGCTCATCACAGGCCCTAGGATTTCAATTTTAAGAGCACAGGTGCCATATAAGTGAAACATCTGTGTGATTGAAAATACCTAATGAATTCAAGCTCCCCCAAAGTTTGAGTGTTCCAGTCTTACCTCATAACTACTGGTTTGTTATGCATATGCTTAACCTACTTAAAAAACAAGGTCAAAAGGTAAATTTCTTCGAGCAGTTCAGCACTCAAGGGCTTTCCGCTCATTAGCGGTCAGTGGGAATCTCAAATAATTCCTGCTACGGGGCAGAGTAGATTATGGTAAAAAGGACAAACAATGATGTTCTGGTTCGCAAGAGGCATGGGCAGAGCTGCAGAGATTTCTGCACCTTGGAGATATACCTCGCAAACCTGGGGGCTGGGGAGTCCGTTTGTGCAGACCTGTGGAAGGTAGAGAAGGTTTGCTTTTGGGAAGGCATTCCTCCAGCAGGCACAAGCAAGTTCCCATCCTGCAAGAGCAGCCAGAAGGAAAGGAACACTGCTCAACCTCTGGTTTCCCATTTTAACAGTTACTAGAAGAGCAGCACATGGTGTTGGTAATCAAGAGGAAAGGCATCCTGGAAATCAACACAAAATCAACCACTAAAGCTGGTGACAGCCTCTGCAACACAGTACACTGATCATCCAGTGCCGCAGCACCTCTTACCTCTCGTGAGCTGGGCTGTTCTGTACTGTTCCTCTCTGACCTGTTTCATCAGCTGCAGGTTGTGGTCGCTGGCTTCCTTGTGGTTCACCATTGGGAAGGGGTAATCTTGACCTGGTGCAACATGGAGACAGCAGCCTTTACAGAGCTAATCAAGGATGTTTCACTGAATTTGCACCAGGGCAAATGCTTGCAGCTTTTCTTAAAATAAATGGCAGCTAAGATAGACCAAATGACCCACACTTCAGAAGTGCCTATTTCTCTCCATCAAGGTGTAAGAGTTCCCATTTAGACATAAGCTTTTAAGAGACTTCAAAGATGCATTAGAGCAAGCATAAAAGCACAAGATGTTCAGGTACTATTTAAAGACAGCCAAGCATCCCAGACAGAAAAATACAAAAGCAACAGCTCAGAGTGATCCGATAGTTTTAGGACATGAAGTTGAGGCAAAAATATGTACTTTGAAATTAGACTCCAGTAAAAAACTTTAAAGGAGAATTGGCAGAAGGTAGACTGCTGAATTAATCCACTTTCAGAAGATAAATGCATGACTTGTGTTGGAAGTGTGATGCTTCCATTTCACGCATGTAATTATTTTGGACAGTTAGCAGCAGCAAAATCCTTAGCAAGGTATTTGAATGAATTACCTATGATACACCCTGCTTGCTTCTGCTCCTCTTCAGTTGCTGTCCAGGGCTCATAGATGTACTTGGAGGGAAAGTTCTTTAGTATAGGCAAGTATTTCCTATAAAACAGGAATAATATGGGGTTTTATAATCTTGCACACAAACATTCATGCATTTAAGAGAAGTGTAAACCAACCTATGCCATATTAATTCTTGGTGATCATATTGATACTACAATCCATGGGAAAGTTCTGATTAATTTTGCACAAAAGAACTGTTTTTATGCTCTGAAACCTCAATAGGGTGATACCTTCCAAAAGTTAATTTTACAACATACAATAAATGGGTTGATTAAAATATTCCTTCAGTTTTTAGTTCATCCAAAATATTTTGGTTTTTAACATTTTCACTGACATTTCATCCTCAACTTCAATAAATTTCAAAAACAAACTCATTAAAAAAATCTAAAAAATTCTTACAGTATGGGAAAGTAATTTTCTGTCCCACTCTGTCAGGTATGTCAGCACAGGCTTCCCCTCGACAATACCCAAAGCTAGACAGGATGTGAGGAAGAGGAGATGTGGGGAAATGGAGTTATTTGCTCAACATCAACACAGTCTGGTCCTACCACAATCAGTGGTAAAATCACCCACTACTTACGAGAAAGCCCATCAGTACCTTATCGAGAGATAAGGAAACTGAGACTCTGAAGCAAAGAGGACCCACTCAGAGTGGAAAATAAAACATAAGTGTCTGAAATTAATCAGACCACCTACAAAACCAAGAAACACAGCACAGCCTGGAGCAGGGGGATCTGTGAGAAGTTTTACTCAAGTCCTTTAGAAAGAGGAGTCAGCCAGGTGATCAAACACAGCGCTGGAGCCAACAAGTGCTCACAAAGCAATACAATGCCCTGCTCAGTCACCACCTGTGCAACCATGGGTATGTCTCTCTGCTTCTCTGTGCCTCAGTTTCCTTATGTGTTAAATAAAATCATTGCTATGACCCCTGTTTCACAGGTGTATGCATTTCAAACAGACTGAGTTCATCAGCTCCTGCTGTAAGAGGAGCCAGGGAAGCTCTAACGGAGCAGACAGTGCCATGCTGTGCATCGCCCTACCGAATATACTGCCCCTCAGGGTCTGTGCGCTTCCCAAAGCGGATGGGGCAAAAGATCCGCGTGTACTGGTGGAAGAATGCGCTGGCCGACAGCCACATCCAGTTCCCTGCGTTGATGCTGTAGTCAGCATCTAACAGCAGCTCTTCGAACACCTGCACTTCAGGGATGGGAAGAGAAAGAGAGAAACACCCCTGAAATGGCTAAATTGCAAAAAATAAACAAAAACAGGCTGGGAGATGAAAGGTGAAGCTTGCTGCTAAAAGCACAGCACCGTGCTGGTCTGGGCTACCCTTCTCACAGGGCACACAGGGAAGGCTCTCCAGCAAGACAGTTTGCCAGAAGGAAGACAGGGCAACCCAAAGCCCAAATGTCTGGCTTTGAGGCCTGCTGTAGACTGAGCAGGTCTCCAATATCCCCATCATCCAAAAATCATCAGGCCTTGGGGACGGGAATGACCTCTCACTGCTGCACTGAGTGCAGCAGGGCTCGGACTTGAGCGAGAGACCATGAGATTTCTAGCAAGGCTCAGTAATGAAGCACTGCTCTACAGTACCACCTCCCACTGCCAGGCTCACGTTTTGTAGGGGTTTCTCAGAACCAAGAAAACAAAAAACCAGAAGTGAACCTTCATGCCCTCTTCCCAGCTGATCCAAAGGTCCCCCCGTGTCAGGAAGCAGGCAACAGCGTGCCGAGCAAGATGATGGATCCAGCCTTCCTGGCGCAGCTGGGTCATAATCGCATCGATCCATGGGAACCCTGTCTGTGCCTGCAGCAGAAAAGAAACATCAGCCCTCCCACTGACAGTTTCATTACACTTCTTCCCTACACACTGCTGTAAGCAGCCAGCAGAGACCAATCCCAAGGCAATAGAAAAACTAAACTGAAACACAGCAGTTGTGGCAATGCATCTTGTTACCGTTTTCCATTTGTGGAGCCGCTCCGCATCCTCATACCAACTGATCTGAAGGCAGATGGGGTTCCCAGCCATTTTGGTGAAATTTGGTGTTGCTGATGCCACCGTATAGAAGAATTCCCTCCACAGAAGCTGCCCTTGAAGCGACACCGGGGGCAGAGAGTGATGCTTGGCCTGCAAAACACAGATGAGGTGAAAGCTTTGGTTCATATACACCATTGCAGTCTCACTTAGTTTGTGACTGTCAGGCCCATAAAATGAAGATTAATCTAACTACACTACTGGCTTCATGGCACTTTACCATGAAAGCTAAAGAAATCAAAGATCTGAAGCAATGCTATATGCCCAAAAGCAAAGCTGAACTCTGTTAGACCTCAATGTTACCTCAAACATTCTCTATCTACCTTCCAAAATGGTGTCACACTGGGATTTCTTAAACTAAACATGCATTTATTAACATATTAACTGCTTGGCTAGCCGAATTCAGATGCCTCAACCATGTCTCAAGAGATACTCTTAAGAAGGAGGTTCAGGGTTTCTTGGGTTGGTTTCAACCATACTTTTTCTTAATAACCAAACAAGTTTTCAGAAGTTGGGTTTGGCTTATGCTATAGTTAAAACTTGTCTAAGATGTAAACAGATGCTTTCTAAAAACAAAACTCCTTGAACAGGCTAAACCGATCAAAAACTTCACTTAAACATCAGGCAGATGTCTTGAACTCCTTGAATTTTAGGAGGGTTTTCCTGGGCTTCCCTGCTGCTTCCAGGTCTCATTGCTCCCTATTTCTCATATTTCTAAAACTTAATGGGGAAAAGCTGTATATAGTCACAGGCGTTTCACACAACATATAAAGCCACTTCACAGATTTCATAGGACACAATGAGAAGGCATTAGCAAAGTAGCATTTTTGTGATGCACCAGGTCTCTACCAAGATGATCCGAGTGTTAAATCCCAGCCTTGTTAAATCCCACATCAGACACGTGAGAGTGCTAGATTTGCTTAACTATGACCAACTATTTTCTTACCTGAGCATAAATGTTTGACAACCTATAAAAAAAGGTGCGAACTGACAGACAGCCCACACTGAAATATGGGCTCAGGCCTGTTGTGCTTGGAAGCAGCGAATTTGGGATTGTTCTCGGTTTAGTAAAACTTGCCACCCAGCCCTAAAATGAAAACAGAAATCCAGGTTCAGGCAGTACAATGTGACACATGTTCAGCTAGTGAAACAGGGAAAAAAACTCTTGGCAATTGGCTTCTACACCACAGAGGCCTGTTCAATGTCATGCATGGAAAATACTCCCACTGCCCATCCTCCCCCAAATGCCACCATCAAGGAGAACAAAATCTTGAGACCAGGCTGCCATCCTCCTCAAAGATCTCCAAATACACAGACATCCTCCAAGCCCAACATCAAGGCCACATCTCACCCGTGGGTGCTGTGAAGCTCTGCTCTTCCCAGAGAGCCGGGTGATTTTGTAAGACAGGGAACAGCTCTCTAGGTCCAACAGCACTGCACTGAAGATCTTTTCCACTTTATGAAATTGGGAGTGGGTAAAGCATCTCCTTAAAAGCAGCCGGCACCAAGGCAGGCTTGGCTGCCAAGAGCTGAGCCCTGGCAGTGGAAAACTCAGCCAGAGCTGGAACAGGACTCTGCGGCTGAGCAGCTTCTCGAGGTCCAGACACAACCACACATAAAAGGAGGACACTAACTTCAGCTCACCTAGAGCCACCAGCATCACCCATGTAAAATCAAGGCTGACCTGGTCAGTCAAGTGTTGCTCCAAGCGCTGTAGCCCTTCGGTCTCTCCTCCTCTCCAGGGAGAGAGGCTCTCCGCAGGTATCTTCAAATCCACAGGGAGAGGCACCCTGTAACACTCAGCAAGGCCCGGGTCAGGGGACCTACATTTCCTAATGTGAAAGAGAGGCCTCTTTCAAAGAGGGAACCGGAGCCAAAAGAGGGAGGAAGACCCCTGCCCATTAGCTCTGTCACGGCACAGCCAGAACACAAGGGAGCAAAAGCACAGCCAGAAACTGCAGGCTGCACTTGGGGAAGAGTGAGCTTGTCCTGCAATCACTCCAGGTAATTCTAGCCCGAATTGAAGGAAAAGGAACAGACCCACGAAATTACAGTGCTCAGAGCAGTCGGCTGCAGCCGCCACAGCTCAGATGTCTCTCTCACTTCCCATCTGCTACATAAGACTCAGAGGCATCCCCTCTCCAGCTTCCCCCAGCTGTCTCATCAATCCCAGGGAGGGAGCTAAGAGACTCCTCAGACTCTAAACATAATTATGGAGCACTGGTGCTGCCTCCAAAGGCCACTCCAGCTCCCGTGCCTCTGGGGAAACGTTGCTCTGGGAGACGTTTCATAGGGAAGGAGGCAGATCAGCTCCCTGGGCTGCCTCCCCAGCTGCTCCTTCCTAACCAACGTGGGGGCTCCCTAAGCCCATGCCTCTGAGCAGTCCCCCCACATCTCTTCTGCAGCCTCAGCTGCTGAGGCTTCCCCAAGGCCTCTCCCCGCTGTAAGGCTGGAAGAGCATCAGTGTATGGTATTTTTCCCCCTGTAAAACACAGAAGAGGAGGTTCAGGGAAGTGTCAGTGGTATGCAGACTTCTCAAAAAACACGAATGAACTCAAGAGATCAGTAGAGCTCTTTCTGCTTACCTGGAAAAACTGATCTCAGCTCTGTTGCAGACACCTACAGAAGGGGCCAGTGCAGCTCTCAGAGCACTGGCACAACAGAGGCCTGCTGGGAAGCATGTGAACCACTTATCTCTCATCATCATTAAATTGAAGTGCAAATAAACAAATTAGGGTAAAAAGAAAAAAAAAAAACAGTGCAAGAAAAAAAATATAGGAACTGATATATCCCAATACTTACATGGATCTTATCATGGGACTATCCAAGAACAAGATTTGGGAATTAATGGGATTCCCCCAAGATGGGAAGAACTAAGCCTAGGTTACTGACAGAGAGTTGAGGTCACACAGGAGGCACTTGACACAGAAGCCCCAAGTATCTGCAGTCCCATCCCCAGTGGCCAGCTCTCTCCTACCCCAACCTTACCTCCCTTTGGATCACTGAGCTCTCCTCATGCAGAGCTAAACATAAGACATCCTTGAATCTGAGCTTCTTCTCAAGTCCTGGGAGACATGAGCTCAGTCCCTCCTTCCCATACAGCAGAGGGGAGGAGAGAAGAGATTTAAAGCCAGAAGGGAACAGTATGATTATTCCACCGAAATTCCTGCATAAAACAAACTGTAGTGGTTCATCCAATTCCTGCCCTAAATCTTGATTTGAGGAGGCTAGAACATGCCTTTGAGAAAAGATCTGTACTTCCTTAGTCATTCCTCTGTGAAACTTTTATATACCTTAAAAGTTTGTATCAATGTGCCTTGCAAAAGCTTAAGTCTTTGGACCATGCCACCTCTCATCTGCTCTCCCCTCCTGATAGCAGAATCACATCCTCTGTACATACAATCGATAAACCTCCATGCCTAGAAGTAATGCAACGTAACATCTAAAACACTGTTATCATTTGGCCCTGGCTCTTCTTTCAGGCAGAGAAAAAGGACCTGCAATGTCCTGCTGGCTGGCTGTTACTTACTGGAAGTCTTCAGCTGTAAGGTTTCGTACAGGCACCTCAGGGTCACCGAGCAGAGACAGAATGCGAAGGAACCTCTTGTATGTTAATGGGGGAGTCCCACTGTTCAGGTCCAAAATCCTAAATAAAACAAGATCACTTTTCACCATAATATAAACCAAGAAGGAAGCTGGAGCTGCCAGTGGTTAGGAAGGTGACAGCACAGGCTGGAACAGCCCCAGTTCATGCAACTGAATGTGGAAATTACAGATTTTACAAGTAAAACTTCCCTGGGTGAATGTACATCCATCCCGAGAGCAGTCTCTCAGGACTTGAGACAGCAAACTTGGAACCAGGATGCCAGCCAGTGAAAGCTGATTAGAAAATTTTTTTACAATCTGACAAAGTATTTATATAAAAGTCCTATTAAATGTGTTAAAGAATTTCTTCCATTCTGTTTAAAAGAGTAACTAATGTTTTTAAGTGAATTAAACTGCCCAAAAGGAAAAAAATAACAAACTTTTTAGCCTCAAATCACAGCCCAACATCCTAACATCTGTGCAAAATCTCTTCTGTTACTTCCAGCAGACCAACGCACAAAAATTCTCCAGCAAACAGTACCATGTTCATCCCAGTCCAATTTTCTCAAAAGGAACACATTAGGATCCAGAAAGACCAAGATACTTGGCCTTTCCTCCCTGATGCTTGCTAAATCTAAAATAAACCTACCGTTTGGTATTGTAAAGACTGTGGCCCACCAAAGAAAGCACCTCAAACCCCAGCTCTTCTCCCAGACGTCGTATGTTGGCCTCCATCTCCTTGTAAAATGGCTCCATCTCTGCATCCAGAGTCACTTGTGTGATATTCCACTTCTGGATGTGATCTCTAAGAACAGACTCATACTCCCCTTGAATAACCAGCAAGCAAGAGCCCAGCTGATACAAGTTTTTCTGGAGATCCTCCAGGGACTGCAGCAGAAAATGCCACCGCAGGGTTCCTATGTGCATCACGGACGTCATGAACTTTCTGTCCAGGATGTAGACAGGGTAGACAACCTCCGAGCACTCCAGCGCGGCCAGCAACGTTGGGTTGTCGTGAAGCCGAAGTCCCTTCCGGAAAAGATGAATGGTGCGATGTGGCATCCTGGCTGTTCTCCTCAGACCTGCTAAAAGAGGAAGGAAACCCTTAGCTTTTGGGATACACAAGCCCTATTAAAGAACAAGCTCAATTAACAATTAGAAATGGAGCTCCAAACAGCCCTCAGCGCTTCTTACTGCAAATCTCTTCTGCCTTTTGATAAGTTTTCATGAAAGAGAAAACAGAAACGGGACCAAACCACTCTCCTCAGTCTCCTCAGCCAGGTCCCACCATTCAGCAGCAGTATCATCACCTTGCTCCACAGAGAACGGCTTCTTCCCTAAATGAGTCACTCAAGTCCTTAAATTAAATCCCTAGATTAAATTACATCCCAATAGCGCTCACCAGAACAAAGGAATCAAAACAGTCAGAGCTGCCAGACCTCCGTTTACTGCAAAAACATTTTATAACCCCACAGATGTGGCCATCAGCAAACCCTCCGTATATCAACAGCAAGAAGATGATTTCAAGGAGCTCTGCCCCTGTTCGTACAGAATGGGCCGCAAGGAGAACAACTCTGCAGGAGCCCTCATCTCATCGGAGACCTCATACAACACTGGCTCTGGCAGTGAAAAGTTTCTGGATTTCAGTAGGAGACATCTGAAAGACACAAAATGTTTCCTAACAAACAAGACTGTTAAGGCTTCAAGTTGAAACAAGGGAAAACAAAGCACAGCCCAACCAACACTGATACAAGAGCATAATATCTCAATTCATCAGCTTGCCATAGTTTTTATCCATCTTTCCTAGCCCAGGGAGACCTCATGGTGCTTCTAAGTGTCAGGAGAAAAGCCCTCCTCTCTCCATAGCAGAGCTGGGTGGTGATAACTGCACAAAACTACTCTTATTTCTAAACTGGGTCTGATGTAGGGATTAGCAAACATTCATTCCCCTTTGAACTGCTTCAGCTGAGTTTAGAGGACAGGCAGGAGGGCTAACCTTAGCTCTCAGTCTGGGGTAGCTCAGGGCACAGTCTGAGAAACTGCTCCACAACTGTTGGCTGCTCTGCTCATGGGGTGATGGACTCCACAGACAGCAGCAAACAGAAACAATGAGGCCAGCTGCCACCTTGTGTTTGTACCAAACCCAGCAGCATCTCCCCAACTTGCTCTCTCCCACATAAAAGGGGGGAAGCTCAATGCCCATCTCCAAGGTGGGACCACACCTGCTTCTAATTTCAAGCATTACCACCCAGAGAAGAATTAAGAGATTAGGGATTAACAAAGAACCAAACAACAATCTCTAATCCAGTTCAGCTCTTCCAGCCAAAACGCTCCCTTCACACCCTCCCAAATGGCTGCAACAGGTGACTCAGCCCCTTGTCCTGACTCAACTCACAATCAACAGCTTTACCAGCCTTGTAAAAGATGATCTGGCTTGCCCTGTTCCCAAAAACACTCATCAGCATCACCAAGACAAACCCAGTTGCGCTCCCAGGCCATGACACAGACTGTTACAACCCCCCCAAATAAACGAACCCTGCAAACTAGCAGGGTCATGAGACCGGGGCAGCACCGTGCATAGCCGAACACGGGGGTTTGGGCTTTGCAGGGTGCTCTGCCTTGTGCCCCAACTCGGGCACCGCCCTGCCCGCACGACCTGGGAGAACAGGAAAAACAAGGCAACTCTCCTGCTGCTCAAGAGAGCACCCAGCTGGCACTTTTGGGTAGCAAGCCACGCGCAAAGGGTGCTAGAAGAGTCCCCTGCATCCCGTGGCAGGAGCACAGAACCAGCCTGCACCAGCTGGCCTCACCGAGGGGCTGCCCTGAGTCAGGGGCTCCAAGGCCCCCCACAGCCTTTGGGGCCATCCCAAGCCCTGTGGCCCCACGCGGTCTGCAGGGCCACCCCGAGTCCAGGACCTTGCAGGCCCATAAAGCCCATAGGATCACCCCAACCCCAGTGCCCCTTGGCCACAGCCAGCCTGTGAAGGCTCACAGCCCCACACAGCCTATGAGGCCTCCCCATACAGCCTATAGGAACACCGCCATCTCAGGACACAGCCTACAGGGCTGTCCCAAGCCCAGGGCCCTGCACCCCCACATAGCCTATGGGGTCACCCTGAGTCCAGTGCCCCATACAACCTATGGGGCAACACCAAACTTGGGGTCCCACACAGCCCATGGGGCCACCCCAAACCTGGAGCCTCCCAGCCCCACACACTGTATGGGATGGCCCTGGGTTTCCCGGGGAGGAGCCCAGGCCATCCCTTCCAGTGCTGGCATCCCCTGCAGGGCAAGTGGGGCACAGCCATGGGAACCAGGACAGGGACTGGGAGGGACTGGGCACAGGGCAGGGGGACACGAAGCCAGGGCTAGCAGGGGCCGGGTTTAGGAGCAGCTCTGGGGATCCCAGTGCAGAGGACTGGGGGAATCAGAGCTGGTGGGGAGCAAGGGTTGCAGGAAAGGGGGCTGGAGCATGCTGGGGACGGAGGGACCACGGAGCCAAAGAGGTTTCAGGGCTGGGTAAGGAGCTGGGACCCACCACTGGGTGACAAGGAACACAGCGGGATCACTGGTGCAGGCCTGGCAGCACTACAGGCTGTGTCGGAAAGGAGGTGGTGGCTCAGCACCAAGGGACTGCATCCTCAGACACTCCTGCCCCGTCAGGAGGAGGAGGAGGAGGATCTTCCAGGGTAATCGGGGGAAGGCAGAGTAGGCACTGTCTGTTGATCAGCTTTGTGTTGGGATTTATCCACCGTCACTCTTGTAACTCTCTATGATCTGGTGACTTGCAGCCATTCACCCAGCAAGGCCAGGCAGACTCCTCATATCTGGATTATGTCTGTTCATCAGAAATCAACCAGCACAGGCAGAAAATTCACCTTGCACCTGATACATCCCTGCACTTTGGGAGAAGTATACCACGACAGAAAGCAGGGAAAACCCCAAATAGGACAACTGGGCCTTACCCCAAGGGTTACCTGGCTGATGCTCCAGGGTCTTTACAACATATTGCCCCGAAGAGAGGATGCCACACAATCGCTGATCACGGCTCTCCTGCTGATAAGCATTTCTCTCTGCAAGCAGAGATCTGCAGTGGTCCTCAGAGTGTCACCATCCGAATCCAAATGCGCTGCTCCTGTTCCTACAAGCATTAGGAAATTAGTTACCCAGGTTTAAACAATCCTAAATACCATAAATATGTGCATCGAGGTGGATTCTGCATCAAAGACGGTCTGAGCGACTCGAGGCTTTTGTGTAATTCCTGAGGAGGAGGATCGCAGCCAGCTCACTGCCTTCCGGTCCGCCACCCCTCGGAGCCGGCAGAGCAAGATGGGGCACGTAGGGACAGAGGCTAGGAAGGAAAACATTTAACAGCTTAATTTCCTCTGCAGGCACTCCTGATGTGTGTCAAACCACAGATGTTCTCCTTGGCTAGAAACCTGTCCACTAAGAAGTGATAGTAATGCAGTTATAAAGCTTTAAATACAGGTGTCAGCCGCCTGGAAAAGCAGCCTCACGACTGCCCTCTGAAACTGCGGTTTGGACTTTTGAAGTGGAGTAATTGTCACTATTAAGTTGTTTAACTGTATTCTGATTTGACAGGCTTAAGAACAATTCCTTATTTAAGAAGAATCCCCATTTTTTACATTAATTTGGTTACATAATCCCAGTCTCCACATCCAGCCAGCCCTGAGGCTGCTGTTGATCCAAACCCTGTGTTATTTCTCTTGTTCTAATAGTTTAGGTGATAAAGTGCTATATATAGCATCTGATACAAGAAAATGGCATTTTAAGTCGCACCAGGAAAAGAGCCCCAAACCCACCCCCCTCCTCCCCGTGTAGGGGCTTGGCCGGCTCTGCCCCCACAGCCCTCGGGGGCCCGGGGACCCCTGCCCGTGTTGGGGGACGGGCCGGGGCCTTCAGACGGGCGGGGA